TAAAGTTTATGTAAACCATGAATTCCTAATTTTTTTTTCTCTATAGGTCTGGTAAATGTAGAATATACATTTTGTTTTGTTTATAACTTTTTTCAAAATGTAAAAAAAAGTTCTAGTTTTTGCCAGAAATCCAATAAACTTTTAACTCCTTGTAATGAGATGACAGCTCTGCACTGAAATCCCAAGCCGTGTTAATAGCTTCTACTGGTTTACGTATGTGAACTACAGAATACCCTTCTGCTCCCTGTGCTAGGGTGACAACTCTACTCCTCCATAGATACAGTACAGATATTCAATAGAGAAGATGGGACTTTCAGGGTGCATTAACATGAATACCAAACATATTAAAAAGTTATCTAATTTTTATTGTTTTTTTGTAAACACAAGAAAGGAAAAAATACAGAAACATAAAAACAATTTCAGTACTAAGAGTAAAACTGAGATTCAAACTTGGTTATGTAATTGTTACTCCCTACATGTTTCGCCCTCACGGGCTTCTTCAGGGGAGATTTTTTGAAGAAATTTCTACCGCCGAGGCAGTCCTAAAGGTACAGTACAGGTAGTGAGCATTAGGAAAGAAGTGTTACTGGCAGGATCACCAATTCAAAATGAGGACAAAATCCTGTGGTCCCTTTTCATGCATGCAGAGCGTTTTTCATCCATCCATTGACAGGTGAAAAAAACAGACATCAATGCATCTCTATGGAAAAACGGATGTAAACTGATGATCATCTGTTTTAAAAAAATGGATGTTTGCGTATGTAAAGGATGAAAGCCCTATTTTTGTTTAAAAGAAAAAAAACTGATCTGACGAAATACTTATAAACAAAGGGTCAGTTTTTGCATTCTTTCTTACATTAGAGGATGTAAAAAAACTGATGGTGCATTGATGACCTGATTAAACCATGTTTTTTTTTTCTTTGAAAATCCACACGTGTGAAAGGGGCCTAAGGCATAGTGTCCCATCATTTGTGTAATTGGGAGAAATTGTGCCCCATCACTGGTGTAATTGGGAGAAACTGTGCCTCATCACTGGCTTCATTGGGAGGAATTGGGCCCCATCGTTGGTGTCATTGGGAGGAATTGGGTCCCATCATTAGTGCCATTGGGCCCTATTGGTGTCATTGAGAGGAACTATGGTCCATTATTGGTGTCATTGAGAGGAACTATGGTCCATTATTGGTGTCATTGAGAGGGTGTCCATTGGTGTCATTGAGAGGAACTGTGGTCCATTATTGATGTCATTGAGAGGAACTGTGGTCCGTTATTGATGTCAATAAATGAAATGGTGCCCCAAGGGCTGGATAAAAGCAAGCAAAGGGCCGCAGTTTGGAGACCACTGCTATATACCATAGTTTGTAGATGATCTAACTGTCACACAAACCAATTGTTAAACGTATTGGGTTTTTTTTTTTTTTTTTTGCCAAAAAATTTAGCAGAATGCATTCTGGCCTAAATTTATGAAGAAAGTTTATTTTATTTATAGAATGTTTTATAACCGTAGAAAAATATTTTTTCATTAGCCCTTTTTCATTCATATAATAAAAAATAAACACTATTATTTGTGTGAAATACATTTAATTTGGGTACAGTGTTGTATGACTGAGCAATTGCCACTTAAATAGGCATACTTCTGAATAGCAATCAATGCCCTATTCATGAAGGGGGTGAAACCTTCCAGGGGTCAAGTGGTTAAATTCATTAAAAACATTGCACCTGCAGAAGAAATTGCCTAATAGCAATCATTTTTACCCCGCTGGCACAGAACAAATGTACTTGCACTTTTACTGGGCAAATTACTATGCAATTTTCTATAAATACACCCTTTGGGGTTTTAAAGATATGCTTTTATGCTCTATTGATACTCCAGTGATCTGTGTATTATAATCAAGTGCATCCGGTCATGCTTTTTATTGTTAACTTGTATTATCTGATTACATTAGTAACAATATCATTCTGAATGATAAACTTTTTATATTGAGTCACACTAATAATTTATCTGTATGTTTATGGACTATTATTTCTAGCATACAACTATCGCTATATATTTAATATTTTTAATTATCTCATTTTTATTATCTATTTTCTACTCCTCAAGATCTTATTATATTTTATTACTCATTGTGAATATCTTGCTGGGTCTGTTTATATACTGGGTATGCCATGATTATTTTTTATTAAACATTACATTTATAGTATGTACGAAGACTTCTTACAATGCACTTTCTTAAATAGAGGTTTATCTTATGTGATTTTAGGTCTATGTAAGGGGGTATTGTGCCACCAAAACATGTTGGCTTTTTTTTTTTTGGTGACCTCCTGTCATATGCATTAAGAAATCCATTTTACCGGACTTTCATTATATCTTTGCCACTCTCATCCTTTTTTATATACTTTGTACCAGATATTCTCCATGGTGGTTCCAAGGAATTCTGGGATTCTTTGAGCTGTGACTGTGTATTGGGTATGGCAGGCTTAATAACTATTTAAAAGTAGTCTAAAACCTAAACCATTTTAAATTTTAGAATCCATATCACTCCTCCCCCCCTCCCTTTTTATACTTGCCTCATTTGATCCAGTGCTGCGCCCGTCTGTAGCGGCTCTCCCCACTCGCAGGCTTTGTTGAGGCAATGGGAGCCATTAGCCCCTTTTGCTGTCAGTCAAATCCTGTGATGAGGATCAGGGGGCGGTGCTAAGCCACGCTCCCTGTGTCTATGGATGCAGGCAGTTCGGCTTATCGAGCCTGCACGAGTGCGTCCATAGCAAGATGCTTGTAGAACATTATTATAAAAAAAAAAAAATCCTTTACACAAAAATGACCTGCTAATTTCTTCAGTGATCGTAAAGTGATAAGAGATTTGACTGCCTGTGTCTGGTCTCACTACTGTGATGTGCAGATGTATTGAACACTCCTTTCCTAGTATTCCATTGCAACAACCCTGTTTAAATTTTTTTGTTTTTTTTTCTTCAACAGAAGCAGTTATCTGAAATACAGCAGTCTGCAGAGCTCTGACAGGTCTTTTATGAACCGATCTGTCATTGAGAGCCTTGGTATCGCGTGCTTGCATTTTTTTTTCTTCCCTTGTATATTTTGGTAGTCCTTAATATCCTGACCTGCTTTTTCCAGTGTTGTATAGCCCTTTATTCTCTCCACACTTTGAGCCATACACATTATTTCATTTAACCTCTGTCATAGTGCTCAATTGTGTGTGACACTGGTCCTCCAGCCTGCTGTATATACATGCCACTGGTGGTAGCTCAGCAATGACACACTCACATTGAAGGAAATGTTCAGGATTTCCAACGGAACACACCTGCTGCCTATTAAGCCTGCTTTTGCCCTTAGGAAATGACTGCTTTTTTTTTTTTTTTATGTCCAGGACACACAATTAGATCAATTACAAGCCGTACCGTGGCTTGGATTTTTTTTTTTTTGTTAACAGAACCTTCGGGGTCTTTTTATCCTCCTGGAGGCAAGTGTCTGCTCCCTTTATGTACAAGGGGCATCGGCGCGGACTGCAGATCCATGTTGCGGCAGAGTGTGATAATCATTACTGTGTACTGCTTGAGCTCACCCTTCTTCCTACGCACTGCTTGACTCTAGATGTGATGTGATAGAGAGGGGAAAGCCAGACTTGTCTCATCCTGTAACATATCAGATGACTGATGCTGCTTATGGCTAGAAGAGTCCTGAACAAATAAAGGATGTCATCGAAGCTTGTGTCTGTATCCATGTCCAGCTCTAACCTCACGCAGCTGAAATATTGAGGTTTCCCGAGTAAACAAGTAATTACTACTTGGATGAACATGCTGAGGTTACATTGCTGCAGCAATCTATCATGGTTACATCTACTGCTTGTAAATATGTATTCCTCATTTTTACTATGGTGTATGCATTGCTTAGAAGCAGGTTAACCCCTTTTTGGCCTTTTCCAGGAAGGCACAAATCACTAATCCTTGGCAATCAGATTTAAAGCTGAAGTTGAGGGCTAGTTCACACCCGAACACGGTGCTGGAAACCCATGTTCCATACGTGTTTCCCATACCTCATTCAGAAATCACTGTACTTGCAGTCTGAAATGGGTGTCAGTGTTAACTTAAAGTGATTCTAAAGGTTCAGAGCAGCGCTATCATCCCAATGTGCAGGATTTCATCCATGATCTATGTTCACTTTAAAGGGGGAGAGCAGTTTGGGAAGGAGAGGGGGAGCAAAGCCTACATTTGTACTAGGAGAGGGGGTAATTTGAAGGGATTGAGCACAGCCCACATTTGTGCTAGGAGGAGGGATTTGTGCTGGGAGAGAGGATTGGGGGGGAGGCGTGGCTTGCGCTAGGAGGGGGATTTGTGCTGGGAGAGAGGATTGGGGGGAGGCATGGCTTGCGCTAGGAGGGGGGATTTGTGCTGGGAGAGAGGATTGTGGGGGAGGCGTGGCTTGGCTAGGAGGGGGGATTTGTTTTGCTTGGGGGGGGATTTGTGCTGAGAGAGAGGGTTTGGCCTGGCTTGTGCTAGGCGTGAGGGATTTGGGAATAGGGATTTGTGCTAGGAGAGGAGATGGGGGCAGAGTTTCCACTAGGATTGTGCTAGGAGGGGGGATTTGGTGGGGGATTTATGCTAGAAAGGGGAATTTGGAGGGGCGGTGCTAGAAGGAGGAATTTGGAGGAAGGAGAGTTACAACCCAAGATCACTGAACATTAAAAAATGCACCATTTTCGAACATGCAAAAACAGCGTGTGCTCAGATGCGCCTCCTGGTGCGAACGAGTTCTTAGACTGGTGTGCCTGGGGATCGTCCACAGTTCAGTTTTTTTTTTTTTTTTTGTTTTTTTTTTTTTTTTAAGTCCAGTGTGCACAGAGTCTACGCTAGCCTGGTACCTCTTAGCAGCAACTTATAACCTCTCCTGAATGTTTGTTTATTTTCTCTTTGCTGTACTTTAGAGCAGGGCTTAAAATTTTAAGTCCTGAACTACTAGCCAGGCCTTAAGAGTTACTCGCCACCAACAAACACACAGACACCTGTACACACACACACAAACACACATACAGACACGTATACACACACAGGCACGTGCATACACACATATACAGAAAACACACACGCACAGACACATGTACGTACGTACATACATACACACATGTACATGCACACACATGTACATGCATGCAGACACATGCATACACAGAGAGAAACACACACACATGTACACACGCACGCTCTTAAATGCTCTCTCTCTCCGCTGAAGCCACCACTGGCTGACATAGTGGATCATGTGACCAGAGTGAGCTGAAATTAGGTAGGCACACACACACACACACACACACACACACACACCCCCCTATAAAAAGTTGCAGTACTTCGTTGTTCACTCACAGAGTCGGGTACTGCAGTCTAGGGGGAGGCAGAGAGCACAGCACACTCCTTGCTTTGCTTTCACTGCGCTCAGCTATTGAGCAGTCTGGCTCCCAGTGCCAATGACAGATCTGGCCTGAGCTCCGAGCCTGCTCAGCAAGACAGCCCTGGGGGACACACTCTCTCCCACCATAATTTCCACTCGCCATTGGCGAGCAGGCGAGTGGAAATTTCAAGGCCTGCTTTAGAGAATACAGCATGAGTGACAATGGTCTGCCGATAGAAAACGGAGACTGATTAGGAGTGGCAGTGTTGGAGACTTTAACAAGATGAGCACACTTTACAAAGCCATGGGTGACGGAGATCTGTCCACCAGTAACGAAAAGTTCTAGTTAGGCTAATGCCTCAATTCCTATTAAGGGTTTTAAAACGTACAAATGTCTTCATTTTCATATTTCATCCATCACCAATGATTTGGATTTTCCTAGGAGAAACAGTTTTAAGAATCATAAACCCAACCAGTTAAGAAAACCCCATTGAAAGACACCAGCATAAATTATTTAAAAGGGATGATCTTCATCCTTGCCGTTTTAAAGTCCTGGAATGAGTTAAACATGGAGACTGCCACAGGTGTCTTTTAGGGTGTACACTAGATATCTTGATTTTTTTTTTTTTTCCGCACCTTCTAGCAATAATGCATTGATTCACTTTCCTACAGCAAGTAAACACATTAGGAAGTCAAGGGAAAAAAAAATCAACAATCCTGCATAACTTTTTTTTCTGAGCCTGTGACCTAAGGTTGCTTTCACACATGGGTATTTTGAATCGCAGCAATTCTGCCCACGATTTCAAAACACTCTGCTAAAATAACAAATCGTGGAACTTTATGTCCAGGTGCCATTAATGGCACCTGAAAACTTGGTGCAGTTCTGGCGCTTGATGAATGGCGCTGCAATCGCAGCAAACAGCATCACGTGAAACATGTCGCCTGAAAGAATACAGTGCGCTTTTTAAAGGGGTTTGGAGTGCGAATTTGAGGTGCAATTTGTGCTTTGACAGCTGCAATTGTAATGTGATTTTAATAGTCTATGGAGCTTAAAATTGCACTGCACTAAACATGCACAAGACCATTTTTGTCCCAGAACTTCTTTTGGACGACACGCTTTGTGCGTTGTGGTTTTCCACCATGATAGCATGATTTATCATTGCAGAACTGCACCACATTTTCAGGTGCCATTAAAATAAATGCTCCTGAACACGTGATTCTGTGACTTGTCATTTTAGCACAGCGTTTGGAAATCACTGGCAGAATTGTGGCAACTTTGACCCCAATTCAAAATGCCATGTGAACGGAGCCTCCAGAATCAAAGTTAGTTTATCGGTGTGATAGCCAGGCAACTGGTGTTTTCAAAAGTTGAGCTTGGCAATATTTATCTCAAGTTGCATTCTTATGTCATTTTGTATCTTTCAACACTGCTTGAACATTTTGTGTTTTTTTTTTTTATGTGTATATGCACATTTTGCTTTTGGGTGTGGTCCACACTAGTGCAAGTTTTCCTGCCTCTGCCATCGCAATGCACAAAAATAGAAATCATATTCTTTTTCATAGTGCCCATTCACATTAGCGCAACATGATGCAGTGTGGTTTTTGAAAAGATGCAGGTGATTCTTTTGGTGCAGCATAATGCATTTTTTGGCCCATAGACCTCAATGTGAATGAATGAAGTGCGCATTTAAAAAAAGCATTTACGTGGTTTTTTTTTTTGGCAGTTTTTTGTGTTTTTTAATAACCAGCAAAAATGCATTGGAAAATTGATTATGCAGCATCTCTAGCAGGGCGGACTGACCATTTGGGAACTCAGGGTCAGTAGGGGGCCCCATGAGATGCCCCTGGTACCTTTCATAAGCTTTTTTGGGTATGGTTTGAGTGTGGGCGAGGACACTGGCCCCATGATCCCCTATTGCCCGGGGGTCCCATGAGTTGCCAGTCCACCCCTGATCTCTGAACCTAGCCTTAATGGGGTTTATGTACTAAAGCTGGAGAGTGCAAAATCAGGTATACTTCTGCATAGAGACCAATCTGATTCCAGGTTTTATGGCCAAAGCTTAATTGAACATTGAAGTTGGTTGGCTACCATGCACAGCTGCACCAGATTCTAAGCGAACCAGCTTTAGTAAATCTCCCCCACTGTGTATGATTTTGATGTATATAGCATACCGATATCTGACTCGATATACAGTATCAGTGTCCTTGGTGCTGCTGTTGAAGTAAAACTTGTTTATCGCTTTGCTTATTTGTGACTGCTAAGAAAGCACTTTCTGCTTCATCCCGAAATCCATTGATTGTTTCTGCTGTCAGGACACGAGGACAAAATTGTTTAGGGCTTTAAAACTGAGCAATTCAATCTCTATTAAACCATGGGCATTAGAAATGGACCACACGTTAAACACATTCAGAATACAGTTAATCAATATTATGCTAGGGGCAGTGTATGGATCCAGCTGACATAGAGAGGGCTTTCCCTTCCTAATGTAGGCTTTTTAATGAAAATTGTATTTATTGTCTAGTATGGGATCTCTGGGACATTAACTCTTCCACTCAGCCATGGAAAGATGTATGAGAAGACAGATGAGAAGAGCCTCTGTCGTGTATGATAAATGAAAGGGATGTGACAAATTGTGTTTAGTAAATATAATTTGTGCTGTAATAAAATCTCTGGTTTAGTAAATATAATTTGTGCTGTAATAAAATCTCTGGTTTATGTAAGGTTTATCATAGAATAAAATTTGTTTGGCTAGACAAAAATATTTTTTGTAAATCCGTATTTGGTACATCTTTGATATTCTAAGTAAGTTGTTGTGCCTTTTTTTCCCCTCCTTAAGACACATTGTATTTTTTAGATGCTTTTTTAAATAAACTTGAAATATACATATAGGTAAAGTCCACAGATTTCTGTATTGTCAAGCTTCGTGATGGCACCTGATCAAGTTTTTAAGAAAAAAAAGTCTTTTAATAGTAAAGGTCCCACCATTATCCCTGTTTTCATGGTACAGTCAGCTTCTGTTCTGCATGCCGACTGCTGCTGTTATTGGGCTCATGGAAGGACTAAAATGATGCAGGGAGCAGGCAGCAATTTAGGAAGGAATGAGAGGAGGATGTGTGGCCCTGGGGGATAAGATGGTGGGGATGGGATAAAGCCTGGGATGAATTGGAGCATCTGAGAGAGTGGATGAACAAGTGGATGCAGAAACCAGATAAAACCTTTAGAGACTCAGACTAGGCAACATACAGTGTGGGGGAAAAGCTTCCTCCGTGCAGGCAGGTCTGGATGCCAACCACTTTGGCTCACACTCATTCAGGATAATGGGCACCCACCTTTTTGGGTGTCTTGAGTAGGCCAGTGAAAAAGATAAGGCAGCTAGGTGATGGGGATCTACGGCTTACAAACGGGGATGTGGATGTGTGAGTAAGGTTTTAATGTGAGTTAATTCCTATGGGGATAGAAAAGTTGTCCTTTGAACCTGGAAGTTTACCATTTACCTGTTTGAGGATCTAAAGGAAGTGCTTGGATCATGAGTCACTCTTTATCTACTGAGCTTTCATCTGGATTTAAAACAGGAAGACCTGCAAGCCTATTGGCCCAGCAGAATGGGTCTAGGATAGAAACAGATGAGTGGGCTTATGAAGGAAGCTGCTGTGAGATGGTTCTCTGTTTGCGATCGTCTTTCATGATGATGGTAATGACCTTACTAATAGGAAGTCACTGCACCTGATAATTGATATAAAGGCTGACATGTACAGGACATTAGTGAGGTGGCTGTGAGTGTTGGCAAAGTTTTCTGATCCACATTCATCAGTAGAAGGTTATGATCAAAGCATCTCTCACGGCGATCAAGAGGTCAAGAAAAAAAAAAAAAAGTGACTTGCACTGGTTGGTTGGCTGACTCCACAGGAGTCATGATGTGTACCTTTCCAATGTTAGTTTGAATGTTTTCAACATTGAAATACAAGGCGACTTGGAAAAGTGGTGTACAGGTTGTCTGTGACTTTTTTGTCCCGTCATTCTGGTGCAGATTAATCTTAGTTTCATCCGTTCAAAGAATGCTTTTCCAGAACTGGTCTGGCTTTCTTTAGATGTTTTTTGGCAAAGTCTAATCTGGCTTTTCTATTCTTCAGGCTTATGAATGGTTTGCACCTTGTGGTGAACCCTCTGTATTTGCTCTTGTGAAGTCTTCTCTTAATTGTAGACTTTGGCAATGATACGCCCACCTGCTGGAGAGTGTTCTTCACTTGTCTGGATGTTGTGAATGTTTTTTTTTTTTTTTACCATAGAGAGTATCCTGCGATCATCCAACACTGTTGTCTTCCATGGACTTACATGCCTTTTTATTTTGAGCTCACCAGTGCGTACTTCTTTCCTCAGAATGTACCAAACTGTTGATTTGGCCACTCCTAATGTTGCTGCTATCTCTCTGATGGATTTGTTTCCTTTTTGAAACCTTACAATGGCCTGTTTCACTTGCATGGACAGCTCCTTTGAACACATGATGTAGGTTCACAGCAATAGATTCCAAATGCAAATACCACACTTATAAACAACTCCAGAACTTTTACCTGCTTAATTTATGAAGAAATAACGAAGGTGTTGTCGCAAACGTGCGCAGCAGAGACTGATGCAGTCCTCCATTTTGTTAAGAATCTCCATGTTGTCTCTCATTTTTTCCCCCTTTCCTCTCTGTTAATCCACAGGGACATGTGTGTGTTGGAAGGGTCACAGGCAGGCTAGAGCCAGCAGGGAGCCCAGAGCTATAAAACACCTCTCTGAGCCAGGGCCTAGCTGTCTATAGAACCTGTGCAATTTAACACCTCGTATAAGATAAGGCAAGCTTTCCCTGGAGTTCAAAGACATTCCAAGGAGGCACACCAGGTAACTTTTTTTTAAAAGATCCATTTTTCCCTTATGTCTCCTATCTTGGAATATGAAAGACTTACATAAAAACCAGACATATTGTCAGATTGGCTAAGAGGAGCCGAACAGTTTGATAGGTCACTCGCCTTGTCTCGAATACATAGGAAAGCAGAAAAATAGATCTCCTGAACCATTCAGTGTAGAATTTCACAATTCATATCTAATTAATCTTCAGACATCTCTGCATAATAATCTACCCGTGGGTGGAGTGTCACTTATGCATATGGAAAGGTATGAACCAAAATATGAGTTAGGAAAGATTTTGGCTCTAGTTTAG